AGCCCCAGCAGGGCTCACATTGTTGCAGGAGGCCCCGCTCGCAGTGAGGCTGTCTGCTGGAGCCCACTGTGGACACATGGAACTCCTGCCCTCCCATTCACCCACCTGGTGAACTGCCTCAGTTCACTTGGCAGGAGGGACAACAAAGGGGCTTTGGCGCTGCTGCCTACCTGCCCTGCAGGCAGCAGTCCCAAACCATTCAGGCATGAGGGCTCCAGAATGGCTCCTGGGCTTTGTGCTGCCATGCTGGAGCTGAGCAAAAGGCTTTTGGGAATAAAATCCTGCCAAGGGTGAGGTTGGGCAGCTGGATTCGCGCAGCTCAGCGAAATAACAGTGATTAGGAAATAAGTAGATGACTTGGGTCTTGCCATCCACATCAAGTTTAAACAGCCTCTTATTAGAGGCTTCCTGTGGCTTCGGGGCTCTGGCTGCTGACAGCCGCTGTTTCCCCGTGCAGAAGGGGTGGGAGGCTTTTGGGAGGGGAGGGAAGCAGCAGAGAGCAGGATGGGATGGCTGCAGTGTGCTCCTGGCACCAGCGTGTGCCTGCCCCTGGGCTCTGGAGACCAACAGCCTCCAATGTCCGCAGGTGCTCTCTGCAGGTGTGAGAGGTGCCTTGAGGCAGCCTTTGTAAATACAGCAGTACACAGTATTTCAGCATAAATCCAGCAGTTATACATGCAAACAAGCCAGGATGAAGCACTCCCAGCCCTCCGAATGGCTCGGGGAGCTGCTCAACCTTGCAGGGAGGAGCCAGCCTCTGCTCCCAGATTCACTGCACATCTCCCCCCAGCTCCCTGCTCTCCCTGCCCCCTGGTTCTTCCCCTGACAGTTCTGTTGCTTTGTATAACGGTGTTTCTGTGATGCTGTGAGCTCCGTGGGCTCCAGCCAAATCTCCTGGGGCGGGTGGACTCTGTCTAGCTGAGCTATTAAAAATAACGTGTGAATGATGGTGTCTGTTCAGAGCAGGCAGCTCACTTCCCTCCGCTGCCTCCTGAGCCAGGCCAGGGCCGGCGCTGAGCCCTTGCCGGCACTTGGAGGTTGCCAAGAGAAATATGCACCTTTGCTGCCGCGAGGCGCAGCACCGCAGCCATAACCCCGTCCGGCTGAGAATTGATGAAGATGTTTAGTCTTGGAGAAGTACTGTGCTGAAGGGGAAAACTTTAAAATGCTATAAATCCTTTGGAAGTTTGCAGAGAGCTGGCTTAGCCAAGAGGGATAACGCTCCTGTGTTTTGTGTTTTTCCCCCTGTTGCTGGAGGGCCAGGATGCTTGGAAGGGCTCCTGCTCCCTGGGGGCAGCGTGGTTACAAAACCAAGGGCTGTCAGGGCCACTGAGTGGTGCCAGTGCCTCACCAGCTCCCAGCTTTGAGACCCACTGGTTCTCACTGTGGTGAAGGAGGTGAGCGATGGGTTTCTAGCCGGCTCTGCTTGCAGTCGTGGCCGCAGGCTCAGCAATACTGCCAGCACAGCTCCATCCCTCTGCAGCGTGCTTCCAACAAAGCAAAGCTCAGCACAGAGCTGCTCCTCCGGCTGGTTTTCTTAATTTGCCAAGCCTGCCTCATTAAACCATTCCTTTTTTAGAGCGGAGGAAAAGGAAGAGAAGGAGCTAAAAGTGGAGCCTCAGGAGCAGGGAGGAGGGGTGGCTGCTGCGGGGCTGATGTCACTCTTGGGTCTCGCGGGTGCAGTGCACGCAATGTCAGGGACCACGGGATGGTGAAGAGGACATGTGGGCTGCCTGCCTTCTGCAGCCACGCCTGGGACCTCAAGCTGTCCTTGGGAGTGGCCAGGAGCCCCAGGCAGTGGCTGCTTGGCCCTATGGGGCCCACGGTCACCTCTTTGCTGCAGCTGGTCACATCGTGCCTCCCGCACTGCTCCATCTGGGTGTTGTCCTTTTGTGAGGTCCTGCATGTCCCATCCGCCGTCTTGACTTCTCCCAAGGCCACTCTTTCCTCCCTTCCCCTCACCTCCCACGGGTTCGGGGCTTATTACTGCTGTAATAATTATTGCTGTCTCCCTCCCTGCCTTGACCTTTGTGTTGGAAGATTTCATCCCATCTCTCCCAGCTGCAGCCGTGGCAGGGCTGGGTGCTTCTCCCCTCCTGCTTTTGCCAACCTGTAGCAACTAGACATGAAGCATCCTGCCCCCAGGCACTCCTGCATCGCTTAGACCAAGCCCTGGGGTTTGCTTGTGCAGTAGTTGTGGTCCTTCATGCAGTGTGGACAGTGTTGGGATCACGGTGCCAGGCTGGTGTCAGTATGCCAGAAGAGCACCAGCACTGCAGGTGAGTCACTGGAATGGCACCAAGTGGCATCTGGCTTACAGCACTGGCAGTGCTGGAGGTGATGTCTCCTTTGATTGCTTTCCCAGCGTCCTGATTTGGTGCAGCAGAGCCCTGTCTCCCACATGCGGGGTCCCGCATCCACCCCCGCTCTTGCATGGCATGTGCAGGGCTGCGTGCATCTGGTCGGCACCTGGCTCACATTATGGGGCTGGGGCAGGCGCCATCGATACGCCGTGCTGCGGGGCCACGGCTGAGCGCAGCCAGTGTGGGATGGAGAGGAACTGTGCTTGTTCTCACGAGAAACTTCCCCCGACGCTGTTTTGGCAGAACTGGGGGCGAGGGAACGGCCGCGCGCGCCGGGCGAGTGCACGCCTGTGCTCACGTTTTATAGTGCTCCCTTGGAGCACAATGCTTGTGTGACCGGGGCTGAGGGCAGCTGGGGACAATTCAGGGTGTGTTCATCCTCACAGAGGGTTATTTCCCTGCCTTGCAGGCCGTGTCATGGGGAAAGGTAGGGATCTGGGGGTGCCCTCCTCTGCCTGCGGCTCCCCTGTAGCCCTTCTTCCCCCAGCCATTGCCTTGGCTCTGCATCACACAAGCGTGGCCACGCAGGCAGGGCAGTGCCAGGGCAAGGTGGATGTCCAGGCCGGAGCCACCCAGCCGTGCCCACCACTTGGACCCCGCAGACCCTGATGTGACACCTTTGCCCTGGATCCTCCTTTGGCGGTGGTTCTGTCCCTGGCTGCTGGTCCAGCTGGGCACCGCTCAGCAGGGGAAGGAGCAGCAGGACGTGGGAGGCTCTCTGCTTGCCTCCCCACCCCAGCAGCGTGGTATCCCACGCTGGGGTCACCCTGGGGGTACCTGACTCCCAGCCTCAGCAGCAGCTTCCTCTGGGCAGAGGGAAGGTCTGCAGCATCCCACATTCCCAAGGAGACCGTGGGAAGCTTTGAAAAAGTTGGCCAAGCTCTGGGCTGCCTATTTATAGCATTGCGCGCTCCGCGCTCTCATGCTTCTGTTCCCCAGCGTAACTGCACGGGATTGTTTATATTTCCTCTGCTCTGCTTCCCCCTCGGCTATCCTTCGCAGGAATGCCGCTGGTATTGCAGATATGGGGAAGTCAAGGAGGATTCGGGCCGAGTCCCAGCATCACTACGTGGGCCAAAGGGCTCACCCTCCGCTGGGTGCCCGTCTGTCCTGCAGGCATACAGGCCGTGTGGGGTTGGTGGGTCACAGCCTTACTGTGCTACTGCTTGCTGATGTGGGCTGGGGAGTCATGGGAGCCTCCTAGCTTACTGCCCAGAGGGTAGAGGGTGCCACATTGGTCCCTCTCCACTGTGGCAACCACAAACTAAATCCAGTATTCCCCTATCAGGACTGGCATAGGGCTGCTGGAGCTTTGCTGCAGAGAAGCTCTGTCTGCCATCCCCTTTGGATGCCCAGCAGCTGTAGTTTGGTGAGGCTCAGCAGAGCCGTGAGGCTCAGAGCAGAGTAGTTTGTATGCGGCTGCTCAGAGAGGCTGGCTCTGCTGAATTCCAGCACCTCCTTTCTCTGCTTCAGGAGGAGTGCAGCTTCTGAACACAAAGCCACCTTTTGGGGGCAAGCAGCCCCTCCAGCCTTGTGCTATCCCCTCCCTGTGTTCCTCTGTTGGAGGAGCTGCTCTGCAGACGTGGGCCGGCCTGCCAGAGGCTGCTCTGCACTCCTGGCCACCTCTTGAGTGAGTGGGATTTGGCAGCGAGGGGAGATCGCATTCTTCTGCGGGGAGGATGCACCATGGTTAACCCCCTCAGCTCCCCTGGAAGCCTTTCCTCTGCCCCCTGGGCTCGTGCCTGTTGGTGGCAGCAATTGCTTTCCCCATCCTTTTCTCCACAGGGTTTGGATACCTGCAGTCTGCCAGCTGTGGGCATGGCAAAACCATGGGAGCTCAGGGGCTTCCCCCTGCTGCTTAGCCCTGCCCTAGGCTCCCCAGCCCCTGGCCAAAGGTAAATATTCCAGGCAGAGGCTGGGATCACCCTCGTGCAGAAGCAGCTTTTGCTTTGTGTCAGGCTCTCCTAGGCAGCCAAGGAGCCGAAATCTGCCGGCAGCTGTTGCCAGCTCACGCTGACCCACTGTGGCTGTGCTGCCAACAGCTGCATCTGACACGCCAGGCATGCTCCCCGTGGTGTGGAGCGCTCAGCCACCCCGTGTCCCACAGTGTCCCTGGGGCTCTTTGGTCTGGGGACCCCGCAGACTTGGTGTGAGTGCCAGGGCAGGATGGGGAGCAGGAAGGTGTTGGGGATGAGCTGATCATTGTGTGCACAATGAGACTGCCATCATCGTTTGTCTCCAAACCTGCGTTCTTGCCCATTTCCGGCAGCCCCATGGACCTGCGTCCACTCTGGGACTCTCGCCCAACCACAGCACCCCTCTCACACCACCCCTTCCTGACCTCAGCATCTGCCTCCTGCACAGGACACAGGTGGGGGGTTCCTGGGGCCCCCCCGGGACCGGCTGCCGCTAGGTGGAGCGGCACGCGCGCCATCTGGCCCTGCATGCTCACCTCTGGCAACATCTGCACAGCCTGGTGTCTGAGCCACCTCCGAAACCGGAGCGCCCCGGCCCCAGCCTCCCGCATATTTGCTGACATACGTACTGCTCAGCCCGGGATGGAACTAATGCAGAAAACATGTTTCCCCGCCGCAGCGTGCGCAACGTGGGCTGTGAGCAGCGAGGCCCCGCCAGGGCACTGGGCTGGGCTGGGCGAGGGTCCCAGCACCGTCTCTTCTGCACAGTGATCCGAAGGCGCGTTCTGGCATGCTCTGCCCCATCCCACCCAGCTGGGGACCAGCCGTGGCTCCACCACGTTGCTCACAGGAGTGTCGCAGCTCCCGCTGAGCTACGTGTGCTGCAGAGAGGCACTGCCACCGAGCATTCCCTGCCCTTTGCCAGCTGTACCACCAGGGCTGACATCCCTGGCTCCCCTGGTGCTGCTTGCTCCACAGGACTGGGAGCCAGCAGAGCCGGCACATGAGGTTTTCAAATCTCCAGCTGTCAAATTTTGGCTGCCACAGCCGTGTGGCTCAGGTGCAGAAGCAATCTTCTCGCCGACAATCCTGGCTGGGGTTGGGCTTCCAGCTCTCCTGGCCTTGGCTCCCAGGGTTTCCTTCCCCTCTCAGCACTGATACTGGCTCCGTCCTTCTGTCTAGCAGCAAGGCGCTGGGCTGGCGGGGAGGGCTAGCAGCCCCCAGCCATCTACCTCACTGCCCCACACTGGGGCCCTCCTTGTCCTCACTGCAGTGGCGCAGCCCTCACACTGCGCAGGGGACACATCACCTGCTTAACCTGAAAGTGGGACAGGGCTGAAGGGATGCTGGTCCTGGAGCCATGCAGGATGCAGAGGGAAGGATCGAGCAGGAAAGGAGAATGACATCGGGGGTCTGTGCCACCAGGGAGGTCTCCAGTGCCAGTGGAGATACGTTGGATCTTGCCCCACATCTTGCTGCTGCTGCAGGGAGCGCCAGGCTTGGCTTGGCTCCTCACGGGCCATGCTGGCTGGCGTGGCTGTGTTTGTCCTGGCAGGGGATGTGCTTGGCACCCTGTGCCCTCTCCCACCCTGGCTGTGGGCCCCAGCAGCTCCTCTATAGGGCAGGCATCCTGCTGAGCCTTGAGGGGACTCCTGGCAGGGCTTCTCCCAGAAGCACAGCACCTCTATGGGGCACAGCTCCTCCAGGTGCCAGGAGAGCATGTACATGCCATCCCCACGTGCCTCCCACCCTGGGTATGCTTTGCAGGGAGCAGAGTCAGGAGTGCTGGGCTGTGTGGTGGTGCTGGAAGCACAGCACTCAGCTCAGTTCTGCCTTTCCGTGATGGATCTGGAAGCATTGGTGGTTGGGCTGTTTTCTTGGCGCTGCTTAAGTGAGAGCGAGGGAGTTCCAGCACCTCCTGTGTCGCACAGCAAGCATTGCTGCAAGGTCCCGCTGGGACACCGGAACCGCAGGGCCCATCTGGGTACCACGTGGGAGCCAGCACTGTAACTCCTCCGCTCCTGTCCTCAGCAGAGCTGCACCAGGGCCCAGCAGTGGGACTGGGGATGGTGCCGCAGAGGACAGGGCAAAGTCTGGGTGCGCTGGGGGTCCTGGCCTCTCAGCAGCACAAGGGGAAAGGGGCTGCTGGGTAGGGCAGTTTACCATCAGTGTCTCAGTAGCCTCTGGACACATGTGGGACACCTGCCTCCTGAGCTGGGATTTGGCACGGATGAAGAGCCCAGGATACAACTGGGGAAGTAAGTCCCTCTTGCACCCTGGCAGTGGCCGTGCTCATGTGTCTTGTTGCCAGCATGGAGCAGCTTTTTGGCACACTGACCCCAGGCTCCACATTTGGTGCAGGAAGAGTCATGGGTGGTGTTGGAATCCAGAAGCCATCCCACCACATTCACATTCCCTGCTTCCACTCTCCACTCGCCCCAGTGACCATATCAACACCACCGAGATGACCTCACAGGGACAGTCCCAGCATGGAGGCCATCCCCACTCCACTGGCACTCTGGGCACCCCTTGGTGGGGAGAAGCTCTGCCCCGTGCACTCAGCCCCGCAGTTGCTCACGGTCACGCTGTAGCTGTGCACACAGCATGGTCCTGCACGGTGTGGGCAGTGGCAGTGCTGATGGCTGTTCTGCTGTGTGCCTTGCAGAGCGTCCCAGGACATGAGAACAACAAGGACTCCCGGCTGCTCTGGATGGGAGCCAGCGATTGCCTCATCTCCGTGGGGTTCAGCCAGGTACGGGCCTCGCTGGGAGGGCAGCTCTGTGCCAGCCGGGATTTCCCACCCTGTGCCAAGGCCACAGCACGGCCTCCCTGTGATCTCCGCAGCTCTGGATGGGGCTCCCATCCAGCATGATGGCTGCAAGGCAAGGGCAGTCCCAGGGTCTTTTAGAGGGACCTGCCTCAATAAGAGCAGGCTTGGGAAAGGAGGAAATCTCCTCTCTGTCTCTATGGGTAGCAGAGCCTCCAGCCACCTCCTGCCCTTGTAGAACCCTGGCTGCAGCCATGTCGAGCCGTGCTGGGCTCTCCCGGCCATGGAGCTGCTAACAGCAGCCACTGGCCCTCATACCCACAGCCCCTCTGCTGCCCGCCCTGCACTGCACCTGCAGCCCAAGGTGCTGAGTGCATTCAGCTGTGTCACCCCTGGTAGCAGGAGCAGGCTGGCCATGTGCTGTAGCACGTGGAAGCAAAGGAAAGCAAGGACGTGGAGCGAGGCAAGCAGCCACTGATGCAATCCATGTCTTTGTCCCTGCAGATGCGTGAGCGGGAGGTGAAGCTCTGGGACACACGGAAGTTCAGTGGTGCGACTTTCACCTTGGCACTGGATACCTCATCTGGGTAGGGATGGGGACTTAACGCGGGGTGACGGGGGGGGGACGCAGAGCAGCACAGCGGTGCTGAGCGGGGATGTGCTCCAGTGCTTGGGGACCTGCAGTGAGCACAACAGGAGCTGATGAGTGGCCCCTGGCATCAGCAGCATTTAACCAGAAAACCAGGGGCCAGGCTGGGGATGGAACGGCCATGTCCCTGGCACCAATCACTTGGGATGGGTGAGAGATGGCAGTGTCAGGGACAGTACTTCTGTGTCCTCAGCAGCACTGTGACAGGCAACAGCAGTGCTGGCAGTGACTGCGTGTGCTGTGGGTGGCATATGTTGCTTGAGAACAGCCAGGACTCAGTTGACAGTACTGCATGCGGGTGAACTCCTTTGGCACAACTTGGCCCCCGCCCTTTGCTTGTGATGGGCTAGACACTTTGTGCAGCAGCCCAGGGGCTGCCCAGTGACAAGGGCTGCCTTCAGGGCATCCCTTTGGGAAGTGGTACAATGGCTCTCAGGGCTGTAAGGGGTCAGCGCTTCTTTTCAAGGTGTGATGATGATGTCTTTTGTCTTTGTGGCACCACCAGGGCTGTCAGGGTGCAAATGCCCCGGTTTGGGCTGGCCTCATTGCTCCCATGTACCCCTGCCAGCTGGCCATGGTGCACACAGGAAGATGGGAGCCACTCAAAGGGGCAGGTGGAGGAGAAGGTAGTGTCTTCATCCCGCCAGAGTGATGGAAGCTTGGGGCAGGGCCCTTGCTGTGCTGTGCTGGAAGCCTCTGGCTCTCCCCAGAGCCGCTGGCAAAGCAGCTGGGACACTGGGACCTTCACAGCACAGAGAGCTGGCTCCATCACAGGCCAGAGTGATGGAGCAGGCTAGGTGATTGGAGCAGCTGGGTGCTGGTACATGGCCTCTGGCAAGGAGCTGAGTGAGCTGTGACAGCAGAAGCAGCACTTGGCTGCCCTACTGTGTCCCCACATGAGATGTCAATCAGCCCCTAGACAGCAATTGGGACTTGCAGGAGGGGAGAGGAATGCTCGCTGCTGTGGTGTGAAAGTGCTGGCATGTCCCTGCTGGGAAGGTCAGCCTAGCATGGTGGCCAGGGAGAAGCCAGAGGTGGCAGAGCAGGAGGCTTCAAAGAATCGCTCATCTTCTGCAAGCTTCAAGGGCTCGGGGCTTGCTGGTTACACTGGGACAATAGGCAGAGGCAGCCTCAGCTGGCTGTGCCTCCAAAAGAGTGAGACTGCTGCAGGGGAAAACACTCCCTCCCCAGTGCTAGCAGGGTGCTCCCGGGCTGTGGCTGCAGCCACCTCCCTGTGTGCCATTAGTGCCCAGAGTGAACCTCCTCCAGGGGATCCACGCACGTGGCACGCGGCTAATGGGATGCTTCAGAGTCCTTTATGCACAACCCCACAGCTGTGCAGTGCCTGCAGGAATCACCCCAAAGCCCACCACTGCTCGGCCCCTGTGCACACAGGGACTCAGCTGGGGTGAGCCAGCCCATCTAAATTGGATCCAGACATGGGGCCGCGCTCAGTCCCGTTTGCGCAGGCTGCAGTTATTTTGGCTGCCGGCTTTATCGGCCGCCAGGAATGTGGCTGGCAGGCAGCGCATGGTGTGTCAGCCCGTGGCTTCGTGAGGCTGCAGCTGCATGGCAGTCGGTGCTGATAAGGCGGCGGCAAAGAGGAGCCGGGAGCGCACGGGGCCTGGCTCTGGGGAGCAGTGAGCAGAGGGAGGTGTTTGTAGTACAGACACACAGCCCATCCCCACCGCTGGGGGATGCGGCCACCTCGGGGCCGGGTGTGGAGGAGCTGCTCTCAGGCACCATCTGAGAGCTGCCAGCCCCCCAGCTCGTTGCTACCATCTTTTCCCCGCTGCGCCGTCTCCATCCTACCACTGCCCATGATGGAGTTTGTACACGGGCACACCGGGCCCTGGCTCTCCATCACGGGCACTCACGGCTATTGAGCAGCGCTGCCCGGTGTTGAGCATGCAGGCTGCGCCGCGCACAGCAGCTCATTGAGGAAGCAATCAGTGGGCGGGCAGGAAGCTCATACCATTCATTACTGACGCCGGATGGCAGGAAGGGGAGCATGCAGCATGCCTTGGGCCCCTCGCCTGTGTGGCCTCATGTACCCAGTAGCACCCCAAAGCAGATAGAGAACAGCTGCAGCAGGCTCAGCCCCGACACACTGCCATGCCCCCACTGAGCCCTATGGGTAGTTGTGTTCTTGCCCAACATCACTGGGGAAGGGGCAGCCCAGTTTTTCTTCTACATCTTTAAGTGTGTTTTGGGGGTGCCCATCTCACCTGTGTGGGTGAGAGCTGTGCAAGTGCAGAAACCCTGCTGTGAAAGCATGGGGCAGCAACACCTGGCACAGCCCAAACCCTGTGGCAGGAGGCGTGGGTGGCCCCAGCGCCACTCCATGTCGCCATCCCCAGCATGCCGCCTGTTGCTCCCTTTGAATCGGGTTTTGTCTTCCCTCTGGCCCTCTTTAATTAGATCAAGGAGCAGCAGGAATAGGCCTCAATAGGTTATTGTTGCCCTAAATTGTAACCAGCACCGGTGGGGTTGGGTTACGGGCTCAGCTGCGGGGTCAGTGGCCAGACCCGATGCAGCAGCCCACAGCCTGGTGCCATCTCCACACAGTGGCGGCAATGAGAACAGTGGTGCCTTGTTGTGCTGCACCACCGGGTCTGCACAGTGTCCCCAAAAGCCCAAAAATGCTGGAAGCTGGGTTCTAAAGACAGGAGCGTCTGCCAGGAACCCCATCTGCTTGGCATCCCTGTACGGTGCCTATCCTCACACCCCTCAGTGCCACCACGTTCCCATTGTGCTGCACAGGTGCCATGAAAGCACTGGGTCAGGGACAGTTTTTGGGAGGGCCAAGCAACGGGGCCCTGCGTGGAGTGAAGTCCTCAGGGCTGGGCGGCACATGCAGGGAAGGAAGGCAGTTTTAGAGAGCTCAAGCTTTGTTTGGCTGCAAGATGTGCAGGGTGGTTCCCCCCAGGGATGCTGACCCGGACAGGCTCAGTTCACTGCCCATCACCCTTCCAGAGCTCAGACTGAGGATTTGCTCACTCGGCATCTCCGAGCTGCAGGGCTCCAGCTTTTGTGCATGCCAAGGCACACGCCTCCAGTGTCACACTGTCACTTCCCCACTCATTGGCTGTGGTGGGACTGTTAATGCACATTTGGATGTGATCCCCACAGCCTCAGCTTCTCAAGGCTCCCCGCTGCAATGGGACTCAACCTAGGGGTGCACACATCCCCCGTTGGGTTATTTCCGTTCCAAATCCCCATGCAGTAGCTCCAGCAGGACCTCCCCCTGTCCTGACGTGGCCATTGGGCCGTATGTGCTGGCTTTTCCCAGCACCTAGCAGCCATTTCCTATGATTCCGGGGCATTTTGGGGTTTTCCAACAACACCCACCCCATCAGCAATGCCTCAGTGGCAGAGCCCTGAGCAGGATGAATCTCTGTCCCCATACCCACCTCCAAAACAGGAGCATACCTGCTAACCCCCACCCTCACCCCCAGGCTTTTCTCCTGCCAGCTCCTGGTGCCCGCGCCTGGCACAGGGAGGGATGGAGGTGTCCCCGCTGCTGCTTGGAGGGGTTAACGCCGTGTGGCCCTGCAGCCGGCTCCGCTCATCACGCCGTGTAAAAATAGCCCTGTGCCTTGCTCTGGCGGGAGTGTGGTGAGCTCCGTCACTGCCGAAATCGCTCCCAGATGGGCCACAGCCCCATCCCAGCCTCGTGCTGGCCCACAGCCGCCTCTGCGGGCGACCGCTGCTCCCCAGCCCTGGCCTCGTCAGCTTTCCAGGAAGCCGGCAATATTTCTGCCTTTCCATAAGCTCCTCCTGGCAGCCAAGGCTTCACCGCAATACGCGGGGGCTGCAGGACACTGACACACATGCCACCCTCCTCCAGCTCCCTGTGGACATCCCTCACCCTGGGGCAGGGGGTTGGGGACCCTGGCAGCCCTGCTGTGGCCCTGCTAAGCCGTGTGTCCTGCCAGGGCTCTTCTGCAGCCATTCTGCACCGTGATGTGTCCCACTGCCTGCTGAGCCCCAGCCTTAGTGCTTTGTCCCCAGGGCACTCGATGACCACCCTGTGGGCTTGAACAGCAAAAGGGATTTTTTTTGGTTTCATGTCAGGGGGTTTTGCAATCCATTCCCTGCGCTGATTCAGCTCGGAGGAATTAGCAGCGCCGCACAATGTGCCGTGCTCATCTGCTCTGAGCTGCAGTGGAGCTGGCAGAAGGCGGGGGGACTCTGCACTTAGTGTAGGGAACTGCGGGGGTTTTGAGGCTGCATATTTGGGGTTGTGAGGGCAATTTTGGGGCTGCAACAGCACTTTTTGGGTGCAGTTGACCTCCTGCAGTCATGTGGGTTCAGGAGTGTGTGCCAACTATCGGGATCCAAGTGCCACAGTGCAGCATGCTTTGCTGCCGCTGCTGTGTTCCCACATGCCAGGGCTGTGCTCAGCCACAGTGCCCAGCATGGTGCCCAGGGGACCCTGGTACAGCAGCTATGTGCTGAGGAAGCAGGGAGGTGGCAGCAGAAGGGTTGTGGAATGAAACCCCAAAGTACAAGATGAAAGCTGTGCCATGTGCCAGCAGTATCCTTGTATGCCACCACGATGACGCTGTGGCACTGGTGGATGGGGACCAAGTGGCACCGCTGTGCCAGCACAGTGCTTAAGAGCTGCTGAAAGCTGCCAAACCAGCAGGGTCCTGGAGCCCGTAGGAATAATGGGAAGGGAAAAGAAAGGGGCACAGAGGGAAGGGGCTCCATAGCCAGTCCTGGCTGGGGCCACAGTGGTGACACAGGGAGCACCCACCACTCGCCGGCACGGGGCTTGAGCTCCGCCAGGGAGTTTTCTGCTCTCCTTGCAAGGCTGGAAAATATACAAAGCTTGCAGTGAAAATATTTACACAGCAGCAATTTTCAGAGGAATTTGGGATGTTAATTTGAAAAATCTGTGGGGAGAGAACCACAATGGGCCCTTTGAGCGGG